TAGGAATAAATTCCATATGAAAATATAAATTTTCTACAAAAATCCGAAATTTAACCCAAAAATTGCATGTGGGGTCCACGTCTCGGAACCCGATAAAAGTTATAAAATATGAACGCACATTCACTCACGAGTTCAACCATACTAAAATCATCAAATTCCGATATCATTTCGTCCCTCAAATCGTGATTTTTCGTTTTGAAAATTTTCTTCAAAACCCAACATTTTCCTCAACTCAAAACACAATTTAAATGATAAAAATGAAGATAAAATCATGGAATATATTAAATACTAGGTGAAGAACACGTACCCAATCAAATTGCTTGAAAAACCCACCAAGAATTGCTCAAAACCGAGCTATATAAGTCAAAATATGGTAAAAATGGCCTAACCCTCGATTTGAAAAACTTATATTCTGTCCAGTTGACTATGCATCGCGATTGCGGAGATTGGGTCGCGATCGCGGAAAAGAGAATTGAGGCTACCAAGAAAGACCCTTCGCGATCGCGAGTGAAGGGACGTGAACGCGATGAATAATGGACAGGAGCTTACGCGAACGCGGGGTAAATGATGCGAACGCGAAGTAGAAGAAAGCAGACTTTCGCGATTGCGAGAGGTACTATGCGAACGCGATGAAGAAAAATGGGGCGGATCAACAGAACACTACGCGATCGCGACTGGAGGTACGTGATCGCGAAAGAGAGCACCAGACACTAGAAACCAGTAATCCAAAAATAGAAGAAATTGGCCCGAGGCCCATCCGAAACACACCCGAGGCCCCCGGGACCCCGTCTAAATACACAAACAAGTTCCATAACCTAACACGGACTCACTCGAGATCTCAAATCACATCGAACAACGCCGAAAATACGAATCGCACCATGAATCGAACATAAGAACTTTCAAATCTTCCAACTTTGAAAACTCGTGCCGGAACCTATCAAACCAACCCGGAATGACGTCAAATCTTGCAGGCAAGTCATAAATGACATAAAGAAGCTATTCAATTTCCCAGAATCAGATTTCGACCCCGATATCAAAATGTCAACCCCCGGTCAAATTTCTCAAAAATTCATCTTTCGTCATTTCAAGCCAAATTCTTCTACAAACCTCCAAATAATTTTACGGACACGGTCCTTAGTCCATAATCATCATACAGAACTATTGACATCATCAAAATTCCATCCGAGAGTCATTTGCTCAAGAGTCAACTCTCCGATCAACTCTTTCCATTTAAGCTTCTAAGTAAGGATTGTTCTTTTAATTAAATTGTGAATCTTCCGTAAATCAAACTCGACCACACCCGCGGGTCATAATACATATTGCGAAGTTTCTCGAGACCTTAAGTCACTGAACATGGCATAAATTCTTAAAACGACAAGTCGGGTCGTTACACAAACACAACTTCATCTTCAATTCAAATTTTAGTGAAATTCTAAATTTGAATTTATTTTTTTTGGAATTCATGTCCAAACGCCTACTTAGAGTCCGTTTGGACATAATTTTTTTTTACGTTTTTCCGAAATTTTTTTATTTTTTCTTGAAATCAGTGTTTGGCCATAAAATTTTTAATTTTCATTTGAAGATACAACAACAACAACAACAACAACAACAACAACAACAACCCAGTATAATCCCACTAGTGGGGTCTGGGGAGGGTAGTGTGTACGCAGACCTTAACCCTATCATGAGGTAGAGAGGCTATTTCCAATAGACCATCGGCATCCTTCCCCTCCAAGAACTCCCCACCTTGCTCTTGGGGTGACTCGAACTCACAACCTCTTGGTTGGAAGTGGAGGTTTGAAGATGAATTTTGGAATTTTTTGAAAATTTGAAAAACTACAAAAAACTGTTTTTCAAAATTTTCACTCAAATCACTCACAAAAATTCAAAAACAACCCAAATTATATTCATGTTCAAACACAATTTTCAAATACCATTTTCAATTGAAATAAAAAATTCACTTTTTTTGGAATTTTACTATTCTTATGTCCAAACGCCCACTTAATTTGTTGTCTAGTTCCACACTACACAATTACTACATAATAATGGAATTAATAGAGCTGGGTCATCATTGTTTAGCTAATTCCACACATCCTTATTTTTTTTCCAGTTGATTATTAAGAGCAACAAATTGTTAGATAATTTCTTTTCATCTATCTAAACTTTAGCAGGTAGAGTTGCTTGATAACTGTTCTGTACCACTAAAATGTAGACACTCAATGAAATATCCAGATATTTACAAACTGGTTCTATCACCACAGTTCTGGAAAAAAAATATTAACTGAGCCACAACTTTAAGAAATGAGTAGTAGGATTATCAATAGTGATGCAAAATTTATTTTACAGTAATAATTTACAGGTAAGATGCTGCTCCCTGTCTGCTCATAATCAGAACTCATCTGGTAGCATCCGAGTATTTTTCTTATGCATCAGCTCTTCATCTAGACTATCAACACGATCATCAGGTAAGAAAGCAGGGAGCATTTTGGACCAAAATCTTTTGGCTTAGAGTTAAAGGTTATGTTTCCAGGTTTATCCGAGATTTTGTCCCCAGAATAATTGCTTAGAAGCTTCGCTGTGTAGCTACCAAAATCGATCCTTGTTAACACTCAAGTAACCAGACATGACTTTTCCTCCGGTATTCCTCATACCATCTATGAGGAAACACCATGTGGAACCCAATGCTCCAATGAAGAAATCATCTTCAGTTGCCAACAAAAAATTAACAAGAGGATAATTCGTGCTCGTCTCCCTGCCAAGACTGGCTTCATAATTTGCCATTGTCATGTTACCCATTTGGCGTGTCACATTTGTGTAGTAGAACTTCCAATGCTGGTACAGTCTCGATTGATCCACAACTTCCTGTTATGTTGGAAGATGTGTTATAATGAAAAATCAGGGAGAGAAAAACAACTGAAGTATGAGAAAAGTGTCATACCTGCATTTCTGTTGAAAGCCAGATGCTCTTAAGATTAGGGAAGTGCTCTCTTATGCGCTCAGCGAGATGCATGTATTCTTTGAACCCTACAACCTTCATCTCACATGCCTTGTCGCCCATCCGGACATGCATGCTCAGCATTGGCCTAGGAATCCAAGGTTTATGACTTGACCATACAAATTTTGCAATGTCATGTCCGGCCTTTTCTACTCCCTGAAGAAAGGAAATGAAAGGGAAACAATTTTCTTTTTAATCATACAGATTCATATTGAAGCATGATAAATAATTTTCTGTTACACTATTGGAATAAATCCGAGGAGGATATCACTTCTCCACACGAACAGAATAAAGGAAATTTATATTAGATTTGATCGATGACCGAAGATGAGAGCGCAATGAGATGGCATGATCCTATAAACTGTATCACAATATTCAATATTAGATGAAAAGGTAGAACCCTGAAGAATTAGCTTCTAGTCAAGAAGAGATGAATAGAGTTCTGTACCTCTGAAAAATCTCTAAGTGGACTTTCAAGAACCATTTTCGCTGCTTCCCAGCCAAATGCTGCATGTCGTGCATGGTTTAGCAAGTCGCATGTGTACTCAGTCTGAAATCGCATTAGGTAGCGCACTGCCTGGAGAAGAAAGATATAAAAGTCATGACAAATACATATGCTTTTCGCCTTGCACATCGCTGATAAAGCTATTTATTGAATGCACTGGAAAAAACAACAGGTAAAAAAGCTTTTGAATTGCAGCTGGAAAAGGGCAGATTGATGAGAACATTAGCATCCATTTTGTTATATACTAAGGGTACCAACTGAAAGAGCAATGATTACAATTTTGCACTGTTTTATTTGTCTTTCAAAAGAGTCGATATAATTACACACAAGGAGCATGCGAACATCCGAAATTATATGATGTTCTAAGTAGGCCTACTGACTCTACCTGAGCTCGCCACCACCTCCTATCCATTTTGCGATGATAAGCAATTAGAGTTCCATTTATATCTGTTGTTGGCTGCAAATAACTCCAAGGTTTGCCCCATGACCTGAAATCAAGATGCTTTGAGTTGCATGAACTATATAATACTATCTCCATCCCAAAATAAATGACCGGGTTCAGAGTTATATTCTGCTGATTTATGGTATGATTTTGGACGACATTCCTTTGACGTTCCTGAAAACTAAATTTGCATGTATACAAACTACATAAAAGCACTAACAAGTGTAAATCACAAGTTTTAATATTAAAATGGAAATCCAAAACGAAAAGTTATTTTGACTTCCTAATTAGTATAAAATGGACAGAACAATGTACTTGATATTGCAGAGTTATTTATTTTCACAGATGGCATATGTTACAGCTTTTACCTTGGAGTGTGTCCAGACCATATCTCCTTAGAAGTATAGTTTTCTTTTATCGTTATGATCCCTTTTTCCCATGCTTCTTTTTGTTTCATAAGCTCAAAAGCACGATATCTGCATTCCTGGGATGTTTCTGGAAAGAAGTAGCAAGACCAACTGGAGCGTGACGAACCTATGAAGGCAACAGTGATAGAATTTCATGCCAATAGCCATACTATCATGTCTCAACTTCAAAATGCACTCAGGAAGGAACTCCATAGTCTTAACATGGCACTTTTAATGTTTGTTCGTGAGACTATTCACAGACCAATTGTCTTAACTTTTCTAAGTTTTTGGTGGGATCCTGGAATAATGCATATAAAGTTAATGGAGATTTGAAATAGGTTTGACAAACTAAAGGGGATGTAATGTAGAACCAAAATAAGAGGAAAGTCATCAGTTTTTTATGTTCTCCTGTGATTTCTAGAACTGTTTTTGCCCCTAATGGTCAAATGTTGATGACCCAAAGGGGTAAAAGTGTAAAGAACAAGCGGCGACAATTAGAGCTACCTTTACAACCATCATGATCAGCACGATTATAATAGCTCGTAACAAGGACCCTTTTCTCATTGATTGCTATTGCAAGAAGACCACACATTCCGGCTATCTGGGCACCAATACCAAACCCAGGTATTCTCTCCCAGTCAGCTATCAGAAATTTCACATTTCCATCACCGCAGTTCAAAGGATGCTGATGGAGCCATATATCACGTTGCACCTTCCTTGTTAAGGGGTAGTTCTCTTCATCTGACCCCTTGATCTGCAATTGCTTCTTATGTTTGAGATGTTTTTTGGTATTGAAATATGAAAGCGGATATCCTATATTTTGTAGTGTTTGATAAAAGAAATGATTAATTAATCCCTAGAACTTATTAGAATAGAAGTACTGCACGACAATAACATACCCAGGGAGGATAAGCTCCTTCAGATACTGTTTGATGCCTATGATACCGCAGCTTCTCGTCTTCTGCTGTCAAAAGGAAGTTATCTAATTGTCCCTTCCATATAGTCCATGGAGGGAAACTGTCATTTCGAACTCGGGTATCAAGTCGTTTATTTGTTTCTGCACTCAGCTTGCAGTCCTCAAAGTGAGGTGCTTTTGGTAACTTGGATTTACCCAGACGATTGTCTTCATTTGCTGATTTAGTCAGTAAGTTACTCCAAGATGAGTACAGTAATGACACCCTCTCATCTACCCCCAATGCAATTTTTTCCTGGGGAAAAAACAACCTTTCCGAGTTCTTTTGTTTAACATCGCAGTCTCCACCTGTAACATATCAAAAACAAGGTTAGTTGCTCATAAGATTTCCGCAACAACAGGAAGATGTATATGTTGTTCGGTGCAAACAAATAATTAAGAAATTGATATTATTGACGAAGACAACCACTCTTCTTCTTCACTCCTTTTATATACTGGGAGTGGAGTATATTTAGAGTCACACAAGACGTTAATAAATATCAGCTTAAGTAGTGCTTTCCATTGCAGTAGCTGTGCCATAACATAAGTTATAGATTCCAATGGGTACCAGATTGCTTAGGCAAAGTATTTAATCCCATGTTTGATCTAATTTCACCTTTTTTGTCAGCGCCTTTTTGTCAGAAATCATGTCGCTTCTAGTCAAATATTCTTTATCTACCAGATCTGTCTCCTCTTATCAATTATACAAAGGGAAAATAGAAAAGTGCCACACCAGTCAAAATAGCCTTAAAGTTGAAGTCAGCTAACATAGAGCAGTTATACAAAAAAATTGGAATAAATCATACAAAAGTTTTACTCAAATCAGTTATATTCCAACCTTAGGTTGCATCAAAGTCACTCTTGGAACACATTTAATGATTCTTGTGTCCTGCTACTTTTTTCATGGTTTAGACTAGACCATAGTCATAAAACTGCTATACAAGGATTATTAAATCTGGTTTGTAATGCAGATGACAATTGACATGTATCCTAAAAATCAACTGTTTTCATGACCTTCAATATCATCTAATATAATATTCAAGAGCTAGCTTATCCAAAAAAAAAAAAAAAATTTATCAAAGGAAGGAAAAAAGAAGACACTCTTTTCCGGAATTAGAAAGAATCTTCTACAAATGCACAAGTGAAAATTTGCGAGGTCGGAAATGAATTTGACTTACTTATTATGCTTGTGGAAGTAGAATTGGATGTTGAAATACCAGATGAAAAAGCTGAAAAAGAAAGGCCACCAAACTGAAAAGCACCAAATGAAGTAAGAGCAGCAAGAAATAAAGAGGTGAGGCAAACACCACAGAGAAATCCAACCACACAAATTCGACATGGAAATGAGCTTCCCATTTGCATAGCCCTCTGTGAAACAACTCTTTCAAGAGATCTCTGATTCAAAGCTTCCATCTTTTCCCCACAAATGACCATTTCACTCTTTCAAAAGGAGTAATAGTCATGTGCTTTGCTTCCCAACCTACTTTTTAACTGTCCATCACATGAAATCCTTTCCTTTTCCTGTTATGCTTTTCTTCCAACTGTAAAATTACAAAAAGAAATAGCCCCTCAGTGTTAATATAGCTTTATACACATAATAAATAATCTTAAAAAGGGAGAAATGGAGTAATTAACACTGAAGGTCGATGAAGGAATGCATCCCTTTCACAACACGCCACACTCCCACAATAATAATAACAAATTAATTAAAGAGAGTAACAAAAAGTGGAAACCTCAAAAGCGAAAACTGTTGTCTCACGGAGTGTAACTTTTTAACAGAACAGCTGGAATTTATGAAATGAAATTACTGAATGTTCATTCCTTAATTGAAAAGGAACTTTTGAAGAGACTGGAAATACAGTAGTAATAAATAAACCAAATACATGCTTGAAGCTTTTTCACCTATTATGAAGATGGATGTTGGGAAATGACTCATTTTAAGACAAAGCTGGCTTCTAATTATAAGTAAAATTTGCCTAGGATGAAGAGGAATTTCTTTTGTGAAGTTGAAATATAGCCAGAGATAAAGTCAGTCCTCAGTAATTGGACTAAAAATTCAGTGCCGCGAGTGATAGATAGAAGACGATACAACCACATACCCAATGTGTAATCAAGAAGACCATGCAATGAAACAGAGACAGCCAATTAGCAGAGAAGAAAGGCACCCAAAAAAAGGAGAAAGAAAGAAAATAGCTCTGTAAAAATTGGTCTCACCAAATAAACAAAAAAGCTATAATAATTCCAAAAAATGAATAGCATTTTCAGCTGAAGAAAAGGAAAAGAAGAGGCAAAAAATTGTCACGGATGAAGACATGGGAATCTTACCCAAGAAGAAGACAACATCCAGCTGTACTGAAGTACCAGTTACTCCAGTGTCATTTAGCGGCTACATTATGGGATTAGTAGAGCTGAGAATTAGGTCCCACTTCATTAACTTAGTACTCTAAGATTTTAGCAAAATTAAATCTCATATCGGGCAAAATATGGAAGAAATATTAGGTAGATAAATAAACAAGTCTTAAAACTTTGGTGACTTAATTCAAAATCGTGTAAACTTAGTGAATTGGGCTGTTACATTACATACCCTTTCTCATTCAAACAGAAGTGATGGATTCTTTTCTTTCATTTTCTTCCTCTTCCTCCTCCTAGTCCCATCGTCCCCTCTCCCCAGTCTCCTCAATATCCCCATGACCAAGGGCAGAGCTAGATTATTAATTAGGGGTTTTGCTAAACCTAATAATTTTTGCTCAAATTATGTTTTGTGCTAAAAAGTTTTACTTAATATATATGTCTTATAATTTATTTCTAACCCAGTAAATTATCATGTCTTATAATTTACTTAAAATTCTGGCTCAATGCTATCCCATCCCACATGCATTCGACTATCATCACCTAATTTTTTTCACCTAACCAAACCCATAAAATTTCATCTTCCTCCCCTCCGACTGAGATAACCTGCATCAGATGTCCCAATGGATATTACTCCACTAAAAAAGACAGTAACATCTAAAGTTAAAATGCAAATTATGATTCTTTAGAAATGGTAATAGAAAAAGGGAATCCTCATTAAGGTAGTCAGGAAATGGACAGATTTGGGGTTCTACGCTGTAAAAAAAGTGATTCGCAGGCTAATTACGAAAATTAAAGGCAAACTGGAAGTTGCCTAGGCAGGATTCGACTTGGTAAATGGCAGAATGAGAATTGAGGTGTAGACGTACTTAGGGTTTTGACAGTGAGAGAAAGAAGATAATGAGAGGAAATGTGAATTTGCTAACATTTTGCTTAAATTAATGAAGTGGGTCCTGATATTCCACTTGTCAAATTTTAGAAGGTCTCACCTAAATTGTGTTGGTTGTGTGACACGCAAAAACAATTGTCATTGTTTTGCAATGTGCATTATTAAAATAAAATGTACGTGCTCACTGTTTACAATAACTTTATTTTTCCAATTTCTTTTTAAATTTCCAAATGAGTACAATAATAAGATTAGTTGCATGATTTTGAAGGGAAAGAATAAATAATAGTATTTATTATCACTTTTGTAGATGAGGATGAGTTGTGCCTCATTGATAGAAGAGGTCTATGATTCAATTCTACCTGCCTCACAAATTTTCCACCAAAGAGGATTGCTTCAGATATTTGCCAAAAAAATGTTTAAGGAGAGATTTCAAACCTCTAACCTTTGTAAGCAACATCAGCCACATAACCTGCGCCAAGCTGATTCCTTGTGAAGCGGTGTCACTTATTTTTATTTTTTATCTACTATAAGATTCAGTATAGTACTAATATATGTATTTAGTATAATTTTCTCGCGGAGCAATGTTACTTCAATCAATGTGCATCTGCCGTTGCACACTATAATATATACTACTTAGGTGTAGAGAAAAAATAATATACCATTTAGGTGTACAGTTTAATCTCATCTTTGATCAGGGACAGGGACGTACGCGTGATTTTTAATAAGGTGTCCACGTTTAAATAAGTAAACCAATGAATAAAACAATATAATAATATCATATTTTATAATATAAAAAAACCACAATTCAAGTACACTATTGCTTTTTAGGAAAGGAGTCGTAGGATCAAGCCTTGCTGGCTGAGTAAGGGTGTTTATCGGACGGGCTGGATCAGGCTGGTCACGGAAAAAAGAGTCTGCCCGATTAGAGGGGCGGGCTGGTTAGTGGGCTGGGGTTCTGGGCTGGTTAGTCGGCTGGGGTTCCGGGCTGGTAGTGAACTATGATAATCCGGGTTTTATTGGGATCGTCCGGGTTCGAGCTTATTCTGTTCAAATCGGACCGGGTTTATATATATAGTGTATTATATTTCTTTATTCAATGTAATTGACACTTAAGTGCTTGCAAACTTTTAAGTAATAAAATAAGTATTTTAAGACATAAAATTAAACTTTTAAACTTTAAAGTTTAAAGTGTTAAATTTGAAATTTGAATTTTATATTTTGAAAATTGAAATTAAGTGGCTACATAATTTTTTAATAACCAATATATAAGGATCAAACTTCAAAGGCTTTCATTTTATATTTTCATTGCATAATAATACTTCAAATTAATTTGCAAGTTCTATTTTAATTTTTAAATTTTTGAACTTGCAAATTAAAAGTTTACAATAATTATAAAAAATTAGAAAGAGTACGTCACGTGTTTTGCATCATTATTGTAAGTTCTTCCATGTCAACATGAGGTTCTTGATTTCCGCCATTGCTTGAATCGGAACCATAAACTATTATATCTCCAATTTTTTGGTTCTCCAATTCATCTACCTCTTTACATCCTTGATTTAGTTGTTCTGGTCTTATCCAATCTCTGAAGCATACTAGAACTTTCAAAATGTTTCTACCCAATGAGTGACGGTATCTCCTAGTTGCTGCCTTGCTTAACTAAATGCGCTCTCTGATGCAATTGTTGAAATCGCTACATTTAGCCCGTCTCGAGCCATGGCCGAAAGAACAAGAAACTTATTTGAATTGCTCTTCCACCAAGCCAAAGGTAGAAATTCCTTTGTGTGGAGCTTTGTTGCCCTTTGCAAGTAGAATTGGAGTTCGTCAATATTCATGCGACTGGGTTGTTGATGCTCTCCTAGTGTATACCAAATTAAATAATTTTCAACACAATCATTATCCTCTATAGCACCGGGTGCAGATGTAGAAATGAACTTGAAGGAATATTTGCATTTGCATCACAACAGAAGAAGCACCAACAATGTTAGCATAATAATTATATAAAGCTTGTAAATATTTGTGTAGATCATAAATGTAAGTGTCAATATTAGGGGTTTCAGTTGGTCCAATATCCATACAAGCATATAAAGCAGCGATTAATTGGCGACACGTAGCCATTTTGGTAGAAGGGTTTAAAATAACACCAATTAGGTAAATATGGGGAATATAATAGAAATATTTCTTAAATTTATCTAGCATAGATTCAACAACAGAACTATATCCTTTTCTTTTTTTTTTTGTTGAAATTATGAAGTAAAAGAGAAATTTCAACTATATGTACTAAAATATTTGCAATAGTGGGATAATAAGCTCCAGAAAACTCAAGTGTAGCTACATAAAATTTTACATCTTCAATGACGCTCCAAGTACTAGCTATTAACAAACGGTTAGGATCGGTACAATGAGAATTAACAACTTCAGTTATAGGGATTCTATATTTATAACAGTATATTAAGAATAAATAAGTATAATTCCACCTAGTAACTATTTCTTCAAGCATGCGTCCTGGTCTTAGTCCATAATATTCACATTTATCCTTAAGTGCATTTAATCTAGCACTTCTATTATTTGCTTGAATTACACCAATAGCTTTTCTAACTAAAGTGATCTCATTTCTAAATAATTCAAGGTCACTCTTAACAATTAAATTATAAATATGACATGCACGCCTCACATGAAATATTTTAGGAAGTGGTGGATGTAGATGCAATTTTAATAGTAAAATAACAGCATTGCTGTTAGAAGCATTATCAAATGACATATACAAAACTTTTTCTTCAAGATTGTAAAATATAGCAACTTCATGGATAGTATTACTTATAAATACACCAGTATGATTTTGATCTTCATCATATTTAAAAGCAATAATACGTTTTTGCATACAAAAACTATCATCTATCAAATGGCATATAACAGTCAAATAATCATTCTCATTAACAACACCAATATCATAAGTAAGAGAAACTCTACAAGGAGACTGGCGAACAAGTAATAGATATATGTTTGATATTGTCCCAAAACCCTAAAGATTTTAGCTCTACAAGTACTTATAGGAATACCTTTAAATAAAGGGTTATAAATTCTTTGAATATAAGTAACAAGGTATGGTTAAGCATCAAAGCTAAAAGGTAAACAACCTAAAACAATCATTTTAGCTAATTCTTTCCGATCTTTCAATATATTGTATTTACCCCATTATACCGCCAGTATCCAGGTTAAGTTTTTGTTGGCCAAATTGTTCATCAGCACCCCATGCAATAGGGTGGTTATCTACCATGTGCCTACGAAGTTGACTAATTCCCCCTTGCTTACCTCCGGTCTAATGTTTATAAACTTCATGACAGATAGTACATCTTACATAATTTTTATCTTCTTCTAGTCTTTCAAAAAATTGCCAACACTTACTTCTTAATCTCCGTTTCTTCTTAATAGGGAGAGGATGCCTACCTATATTACCACGACTGCTACCCTAGTATTTTGACTAGCAGTACCAGGTGTAGGTGGTGGTGTTTCAAGATTATCAGGTGACTCAATATCATCTAAATTATCATTTATACCATAATCTTCTTGAAGTTACTCATAATCTACATTTAAATTTTCAGGTGAACTTTCAGAAATATGTGTAAAGCTACTAGAAGAACCAACACCACCTCTTGATCTTTTAGTATCTATACTCTTACTGGTACCACCCTACTAGTACGCGCTTTTTTTACTGCTCTAAATATATCCATTATGTAAATTAAATTTAAAAAACTAAATTAATAATTCTAAATAATAAACACCAACGAAGAGAAAGCGATGGAACGAGAGTAACGGGAGTCTGGATGCCACACCAAATTTGATATCACACTTCAATTAATATTTTATGATACCACACTTCACTTGATAATAGTAATTTTATAGTAGCTACCGTAAATAATTGATAAAACATGAAATAATAATTAATTAAGAACTTGAGAGCAACAAGCAATTCAATAATCAAGAGGGAATTGAAAGAGAATTAGAGCAGAATAAGAGAACAAGTTGTGAGAAAAAAATGAAGAAAAGGGGTGCTATCTATATTTTTTAAAAGGCTAAAAATGTATTTTATCAATTATGTGGGGGATATTTTAGTAAGGGTAGACCGAAATGGCTAAAACTGTAAAAAAAATGACCGTTTTGAATTTGACTGTTGACAACGGTAAAAATTAAAAAAAACTATCAGTAACCGGACTGGAACCCGGTAAAAATCCATGAACGGGTTACCGGGCTAGCCGGGTTCCGATGCACTCGTAGACCAAAAAAATCTGACCCCGTCCGGCACAACCCCTACCCCTTGCCGAACCGGACTGACCCGTGTTGAACAGGGGTATTAGTGGGCCAGCCCGGCCCGTTTAATACCTGAGTGGCTTTTGTTTCGGAATAATGGTCAAAATTCGAACTCTTGACTTCCACCTGGAAAACTGCATTGCTAAACCAGCGAGCCAATGAAAATCTTTAGTCAAGCGGTCTCATTTCATCTCTATTTAAGTGTTACTTTGTTTTGCATATTATTTTACATACATATTAATTAAAAAAGAAATCATCGACGAAGCGTGTTGTCGGATGTCATCGCTTCAATCAACGTGCTTCCGCCCTTGTCAAAGATCTTTCTTTAATTTGCATTTTCTTTACACTATTCACCGCATATCCAACTTGAAGAAAAAAAACCTTGTTGTAATACCTGATTTTTCTTTAGAGGTTAGAGTCGAAAATTTTAACATTCCTCAGTTCTAATCCCGGTCTCGCACTAGGACGCTTGGGCCAACTTGTGGTAATTACGTGTATTAAATATTTATATTAAATCAATAGATAATGAAATATATTTGTATATCGATATTTCCCGCTTAACTATAGGGTATGTAATATACATTTTTTATTTTAGTAGTGACTTAATTATGGTATATTAATATGATTTAGTATGAACATTATATGCAAGTTATATGTTTTACCTGATTTGGCCTACTTAACGTAAGACTTTCACGCTAATACCCAAATGATTGTAATAATACTGATAGGGGTGTTTGGTAGGAATTAGGAAAATAGTTGTATTAGTTTTGATATTATTAATTCTTTATTTGATAGTGTTTTTAACATATGCATAACTAACACATGTATTAGTTATACATCTTGCTATTCTTTAGGGTTAGACAGACTTGCCTTTTCAATGCCATACTTTTTATTTTAATACATAAATAAGCAAACATTTTTCAAAATCTTTTCAACTTTTGTGGAGGGTATTTTATAAACAGATATATTGTTTTTAAAAATACAATGTATATTATTTTTAATATATCAAATCACACAATTGAAAAATAATAATCTCAACATTACTAATTTCAGTATTATTAATATATCATATTCGTATAATATTTTTATGAAATATTATACAGGGTTTTATGAATTTTATGAAAAATACATTACGAACCGCGTAAGGAATTTATACAATTCATATATATATATATATATACATGGTTTCCTTTTATTATTGCCTTTTTTGCACTAACATCCACCAATTATCTTTTCCTTAAAATTTAAAAATAAAAAAGCCTTTGTACTTTGTTTTCCGCACTTTCTCATCGTCTTCGCCTGTCTTAAAGAATATACTACTTTAGATTTAACGTTTCAGCTCACGTTTCTGCTTGACCAAACCAAAGCTTTAGTCAACCTTCTCTCCCATTTTGTTAAGAATAAATCAAATCAATCCCTCTACTTAAATTTCCAATCTTTGTTTCAATCTCTATCTGGGTTTCTTCTTTTTCCTGATTTTTTCTTTTATCTACCTCAGTTTCAGTTCATCAGCTCTTCTTTTTTGCTAGATCTAATAAATGGGTAATATCTGTTCAAGCAAAAGTAAACCTGAACAGTCAAATGCCAACGGCCACCACGGATCAGGAGGAGTTGGGCCCCATCGAACTGAAATTCAGTACACAAAATCTCCAGGCCCGGAATCTCAATTGCCTGTAAGGCCCCCACCAAGCCCAAAACCAGTTTCTGCACACGGTACAATTCTTGGTAAGCCATATGAAGATGTTAGGGTGCACTATACACTTGGAAAAGAATTGGGTAGGGGTCAATTTGGTGTTACATATTTGTGTACTGAAATATCAACTGGTCAACAATATGCTTGTAAATCAATATCAAAAAAGAAACTTGTTACTAAGGCTGATAAGGATGATATGAGGAGAGAGATTCAAATTATGCAACATTTGAGTGGACAGCCTAATATTGTTGAATTCAAAGGTGCTTATGAGGATAAGGGATCGGTTTATCTTGTGATGGAGTTATGTGGAGGTGGAGAGCTATTTGATAGGATTATTGCAAAGGGGCATTATAGTGAAAGAGCTGCTGCAACAATGTGTAGGGCTATTGTCAATGTTGTGCACGTTTGTAATTTTATGGGCGTGTTACATCGTGATCTCAAGCCTGAAAACTTTTTGCTTTCTGATAAGAGTGAAAATGCTGCTCTAAAGATTACTGATTTTGGGCTCTCAGTATTCATTCAAGAAGGTAAATTTTTGCTTTATAATTGTCCTTTTTTCTTCAAGTCGCTGACCTTTCCATGTAAAGCTAGTGAAGAATCTGTAAGGCTAAAAGCTTGATCTTTAAGTTCAGAAATAGGATTAAACATTTAGCTATAAATGTTAACTTTAGATGTGATCACGTTCACACGTGCACGTATTACTTACAACTATATCAATCTTGTATTATATCCTCCATTCAAGTGCCATATTTGATGTTTCTGTAAGTTAGTGGAAACATTTACATCTCTGATAGCCGGGGAAACATTTAAGGGGATCTTCTTAGTTGGATGTGTATAATCGTCAAGCATCTATGAATGCTCTTCATTGCTGATTAATGTCCTTTTTCACTAGGCACTTGTTGCACTGCATGGTCGGGTGAGAATGTGCAGTGAAAACCTTAGTATTAATAGAAAGAATTTGCTGCCGAATTTAATTGTAAATCGATTTGTAAAACTAAATATTGTACTCCCTCCGTCCCAATTTATGTGACACTCTTTCTTTTTTGGTCGGTCCCAAAATGAATGACACCTTTCTATATTTAGTAATAATTCAACTTTAAATTTCACTTCTTACCCTTAATAAAATGATTTCTAGCCATAAATATTTCTATTGTTTTATTTTAGACCACAAGTTTCAAAAGTCTTCCTTAATTTCTTAAACTTCTTGTCCAGTCAAACACTTTCACGAAAATTGGGACAAAGGGAGTACTGAGTAGTATTTTAGCATGATATGTTGATTATTCTTGAATTACTTCCCTTTAAACTTGGTTTCCTGGAACATGTCATTTTTACATCATCATGTAGGTGTATTCCCCATGTGGCGCTTGTTCAGCTTCTTTCTCACTCTTGCTTAGGAAGCCAGAATTTTAAACATGGTGTAATCCAAATGTTAAATTGTCTGTAAGTTTGTGAAACCGTAGTTGCATTTCACACACTAGTCGCATACAGATTGCATGTATTAGTAAGCTGATTTCTGATTACTTCAGTTGCGATGAACGCCTTCCCTTTTACAAATATGTTGAAGTACCGAGGCTTAACAGTTTCTTTGTGATTTTCTTATCTTCCTTACTAATGCTAACCTTTCTTCTACCTGCGGCTTTCTTTTCCTTTTGTAAATGGATATAAAATCCCATGCAGGTAAGTTGTACAAGGATATAGTTGGGAGTGCTTACTATGTTGCCCCTGAGGTCTTACAGAGGAGTTACGGCAAGGAAATAGACATTTGGAGTGCAGGTGTTATGCTTTATATACTACTCAGTGGTGTGCCCCCCTTTTGGGCAGGTAAAGTCATCCTCTCGCTTTTTGTTGTCTAAGATAATAACAGATGACAATTTTTGTCACTATCTAGGATTCAAGGACTTATTGTATCTTCGTTTGGTATGCAGAAACCGAAAAGGGTATATTTGATGCCATACTTAAAGGACACATTGACTTCGAAAGTGAACCTTGGCCCTCTGTATCAAGTAGTGCCAAGGACCTAGTACGGAAGATGCTGACTAAAGACCCAAAGAAACGGATTACAGCTGCACAGGTTCTTGGTATATGGCCTTTAAACTATAACTTATTTGATTTTAAGAACGCTAAGGATTTCAGTGCAGAGCCTCCATGTTATAGATTCAGAACTCCTTTCTGACATTACTGCACATATTTGTTTCTTTTAGGAAAAAAGGAATTGCATGTACAGTAGCCTGACCTGTTGCTTTCCATGCTTTTATGTCTTTCCATGCATACTCCCTCCTTTCTAGCAGTTAATCGTAGAAAACAAATTCAAGGCAGCACAAACTCTTTTAAGGCAACGTCACCCCTCCAGTTAGATTATTTTGCTTTATTTCACCCAGGCGGCCTTCCCACTTTCTTTCGCAAAACCTGTACTTTGTTTAGGTGTTTACTTTTATCTTCAGTTATGTTTGGCATCTTGAACTGGATTTGTTATTAAGTAAAGCACAGCTGCACCTTCTTGTTAAAGGAGTTGGACATTGCATAAACACATTCTCTTTCCTGTTTAATTTTCTTACACTGATAGTATAATTTTTTTTTTTTTGCATAAGTAGATTATTTAAAAGATAATTATAAATATTATGCATAATAATAGAATTAGTTATCTAAAGAAGAAAACCAATAACTAGAGCGGATATAGTTTGTTTCTTATGGATTCAAAAGCTTTTAATTCTCTTTCCTGTTTAATTTTCTTACACTGATAGTATAATTTTTTTTTTTGCATAAATAGATTATTTAAATGATAGTTATAAATAATTATGCATAAAAATAGAATTAGTTATCTAAAGAAGAAAACCAATAACTAGAGCGGATATAACTTGTTTCTTATGGATTCAATAGCTTTTAATTCTCTTTCCTGCTTACACTAATAGTGTGATTTTTTTTTTTTTTTTTTGCATAAATAGATTATTTAAAAGCTAATTACTAATAATTATGCATAATAATAGAATTAGTTATCTAAAGAAGAAAACCAATAACTAGAGCGGATATAGCTTGTTTCTTATTTTATGGGGCCAAAACACAAGGTCTTGCCACCAAAATTAGTTTATATGAAAATCAATCTTTTTCTTGGCCAGCGGTAGTTCTTGCTTACTTTTAAGATGTGCCAACTAATTTTAGTTTGGGGCAGCTTTACGCTCTGTTAAAAGAACCTCTCCCGGCTTCACAAACGCCATCATATATCTGGATCACATGATTTATGTTTGGGACAGGTGATAATACTGTCCTTGCTGCTATCTTTGGGGTTCCTTTGAGATACTTTATTTGTTTATTTTTTATAATGGGGTGTACAGTTAACCTGCATGCCCCTCGGCTTATCCACTAGCAACCTATTACAACCCACAAGTATAAGTGTCTGGTAAGCCTGCCCACCAAGGTTGGGGCAGATGGACTCCCACTGGGTGTTATACCGGGATTTTTAACCTGGAATCTCCATTTTTTGTCCTACTCCTCAACAACTCACCTATGCCATTGGAGACTTCAAATAATAACCAGAGTACTCTATTATTTATATATATAAATCATTAAGTTGTTTTCAGATCCATTTTGTTACCAGTTATATTTATTAGTCATATCATTACGGCAGGAAGGATTACGTCAAAGTTGAGAGACGTGATATCCGTCGCAAACAGCTACAAAATTTGCTTGCAAACTAATTTTAGTCATTTGAATCCAATGCAACCTAGGAGAATTTATTTCGATGAGATAAAATAATTCATTTTGATGGCATTACGTTCCCATTGAATCATTTTCCTGTTAATGAGTAGTACTTTTTTTTAGTGATATGGTAAATCTTACCTTCCAAATTTTCTTTCTAAAGAGTCAAAAGTGATCCTGTCAAACTCCCATGGTGACACAAACTCCCAATCTCTTGGTTGGAAGGGGAGTGTTCTTGCCACTCGAGCATCCAAACCATTCCTTTCCTGTTAATGAGATTTTTTTTGGGGGTGGGGGGAGGGGTGGGGAAGCACTTGTACTCTCCATCTGCCAAGAATTTTGAAACTTGAAAATATAGAATGACGAGATGTGAAAACATTATCTATTTGCAGCTCAAATTAATAGGGGTAATTTTGCTTGCAGTTTCACCTTCGAAGCTTATTTTTTATTTGACACTGGGAATTCGTTCCCCTTTTTAAAATCCTGTTTCTTAGCTTTAATCATTTCTACGAAAAGACTTCTAACTGTTTTGTGCAGAACAAATATTTCAAAGATCAGAACCCACAACAATTTAGGCATTCATGGGCAAATGTACTCCTTGAGAACATCAAAAAAGACATGTGTTGCCAGTATAATTTGCTATGTCTTTTTCTAACCTTACTGCTGGTGTGTCTAATTGATAGAGCATCCATGGTTGAAGGAAGGTGGTGATGCATCAGACAAACCATTAGAGGGTGCTGTCCTTTCAAGAATGAAGCAATTCAGAGCTATGAACAAGCTCAAGAAACTCGCTTTGAAGGTAATCTTAGAATTTCTCAACTCTGCTTCGTTGGCTTTGTTTTCCTAAAGAAGACAAATGGACCACCTTTTTGCATGTACAAGTTACGTTCATTTTATCTGCCTTAATCTCACTTCGTTGCCTTCCTGTCAAGCAAATTATATGTGAAGAACATGATTAGATTTTAGCATGAGCACCATATCTTTTGTGAATTTGGTATGTCAGCTTTCTTACTCAAACTTGTGTGCATGATCATTTGCTTGAAAAGGATAAAGCTAGTCTGACCTTTTTTACATTTTTGTGTTTTTGTGAAAGGTAACAGTAAACCTAGTACACATTCTAGTCAATGTATTTGCTGTGAGTGATATCTTTTGGAATTGGTGAATTTGGTAAGTTGACATGCCAAATGTTTGTATCTATTAGCTGCTTTTTCTCCATGGACAACAAACTTACAGAAAGTCGACAATCATTTGTTTCAATTTAATACATGAACGTTCCACTACTATATCAAATTGAAACTGATCGTGTTTTAATATTCTGCGGGCCCGTGTGTTATCCCTACTTGGGATCCTGTGGTTGCGTGAGTATTCTTCTTCCTTCTGCAAGTAATAACGCATTGCATTGTCTGTCTTTTGGATCAGGTCATTGCCGAGAATCTCTCTGCAGAAGAAATTCACGGGCTCAAAGCAATGTTCCATAATATTGACACTGATAATAGCGGCACTATCACTTATGAAGAACTGAGGAGCGGATTGGCTAAACTTGGGTCAAAGCTCACAGAGGCTGAAGTCAAGCAATTGATGGAAGCTGTAAGGCAGAACAACTCCTAAATGTTACAGTATTAACCATTTCTTTCCTTCACAATTACTGAATATATGCCCGCAACAATATCTCATGTCTTGTAAACTTCAGGCCGATGTGGATGGAAATGGCTCAATTGACTACACTGAATTCATCACCGCCACCATGCATAAGCACAGGCTAGAAAGAGACGAAAATCTATATACTGCATTTCAGTATTTTGATAAAGATGGCAGTGGGTACGTACTGTGTGTATATCTAGTGTAAAAACATGATCAGACCTTTAGAATCCCAAGATCAGTCTTTTTCGTGTTAAAACTGTAGGTTCATCACAAGAGATGAACTCGAAACAGCTATGGAAGAGCATGGAATAGGCGATCCAGCCTGTATAAGGGAAATAATATCTGAAGTGGACACGGACAATGTGAGTTTTCACTGCTTTTCGCTAAATAGTTGGACTCAACCTTGCCACATATATGCTAATTCTGTCAAATTATTTTCAGGATGGAAGAATCAACTATGAGGAATTCTGTGCAATGATGAGAAGTGGAGTCAAACAGCCAGGCAAACTCTTCTAGTTGCACGAGTCTCCATCCACCAGGGAAAATTGCATGAACTACCAGAATTGCAACCATTACTTGTTGGGATGTTTTTATCTTTTCCAGTGGTGAACGTGTACATTAGTACTAATTTTTTTCCATCCAAAAGAGTCTTTGCTGTTCTGACTTCTGAGCGCTCTTTTTCCCCTTGTGTAAACTGCCTTAGTTTGGAGCTTGATTTGACCACTCCTAGTGTATGAAATGATCGTTCAATTGTTGAAGATTTCCCCTCATTTTTTGTTATTGAGTTTGTTTATCCATGATAATTGATATCCATTTTTAATGCATGTACACTTTACTTGCTGGACTCTACAACCTCTCCTTGGGCTCCCTTTGCTCTATGCCAAAGTTTCAATTCAATCACTTGAACAGAGGAAGTTGACCTACCTAATTGCTGGTTTGGGTGCGGACCATTGCATGCTACCCCTTCCACTAAAATGTGTTTCTCACTCGCCCGCTTTTTGCTAGAATGTATTATGATGAGAATCGAAGCAGTCAGTCTGGTGACTACCTTGTTCTCTAGTATTCTTTGGCTATCTTTCTCTAGTTTTAATAGTTAAAACTAGGTTTCTTTTGTATAATAATTACTAGTATACATACCCGCGATGCGCGGATAATATTCAGAAAATAAACGACAGAAAATAATATAAGTAAAAAAATAGTAGATACATATGATACTTCTTTTAATTAGTTTGTCTTACCAATAAAAGAACTAATTTTACATATTACACTGATTTTAAGATGGAACTCTGTCTATGCAAAAATGAAAAAAAATTTGCAACCGAATAAATAGTTTTTTAAGTAATATACATGTATAAAAAATAAATCATATATTAATGAAATTACAAAAGTATAAATATATTTAGTAGAATTACAACCAAGATGAAGTGCATATTTTATTATCAAGGTGCAAGGTGTATGGGACATTAATAGACGTTTCTTTCTTTCTTTATTCTGTAATCTTTGTCTATTATCCATCTTTCAAATAAACCCCTATTATCCCAATTCCTAAATTGCATGTTTTCTTCCTTCTTTCCTTTTGTCCCTCTCTTCTATGATTAACTGAAAAAAGATTATGCTTCCTATTTGGTAGTCTATAAAGTTTAAAGATATATATTATATTCTTTCTATCTCAAGCACTGAGATATGATTACCTATCAAGACTCTAGTAATTACTCATATTAGATATTTTTAGTGTTGTATAGACACACCAAAGCTTTTTTGATCTCATATGATTCAAGGTTGAATTATTGACAAATAATTATGTGATTTAATAATCGAAACAATTTATGTCTCCAAAAATATGCATTTTTGCTGTATCATCACTCGAAAAAAGATAAAGTAAGCTTACCCCCTCAACTGTTTCACCACCGGAAGGCGTCGCAATGTCTTGAACAAAAAGTAACATTTATTTGTTTGGGAAAACTAACTTGTTTACATATGCATAGTAATGCTCGATGCACACCATATTTAGGTAACAATAGTTCTCAATGATAATTTAGAAAAGAAAAAAAAAGAATAGTTCAAACAGAAAATCAAATAACTGCAAATAATTAAGTCAAGTATGCAAAGTATTTGGTTAGCTCTTTGATTACACAACAAAGACATGAAATCCTTCCATAGAATTAAGTACCCAATCATCTTGAGTATCTTGTATTTGGTAGGAGAAATACCCACTATCATATTGAAATAATTAAGTCAAGTACGCAAGTGTAAGCGAAGATGATAACCTCATTATCATTATGCAGAATTTCACCTATGCCGCTCTTGCTAGTTCTCTTTATAAAACTTTCATCGGTATCAAGTTTTCAGCTCCCTGAAGCAGGTCTATCCCAAATAATATAACTGTTAATGATATTTTGCCTTAGCATTTCAACATATTCACAAAATCGAGTCCAATGCATGTTGCGGTTTCAGCTAGGGAAAGTAATAACCTAGGTGATATTGATCATCCAACTAATATCTTTCTCCATTGTGAACAGGGAGAACTTCTTGGAGTCACCATACACTACCTTACCTCTGTGCTTCTAAATGATCCCGCAAATTGCCAGAGGAGTAATTCTGAGATTGGCTCAATAATCTTATCCTTACATACTCTAGTTAAGCATTTGTACTGATTCCTTTACCCTATGTATTTCAATAAGTATCAGAATAATGAGTTATAAAATCATCACACAGTAAAATTTAAGTTAGTCAAATAACTTCGAATTTTAATTTGAACTGGAAAATAGGAGTACTTGATTTTAACTTATAGTGAAAACATCAATCCAATGATTAAGAGCATTTAGAGCTTTCCTTAGAATGATGTGTGGTACATGCCACTGCTACTCCTTCAGCTAAGTTAACAACTCGTCCGCTGACTAATGTGTTGCTGCGACATTCAATATCTAAATTTGCATTAAGATAGAGGCTTGATGGGACCAGTAAGAGTTCAAGTTCTACACATCGACATTGTATAGAGGAAATCGGCTAAATTTGATTTACAATAACAAGTAATCTTTCATAGAAAGTTTGATATATAGTAACTTAAAATATCCGGTTAAAGGGTTAAAATTGTTTAAATTATCAATATATACAACTTTGATCTATAAAAGATGATTTTGTAAGTGCTAATCATATGATTCAAGGCACTCCATCACTGTTACGACTATAAAGGATATTCCGAACCAATATTACTATGTCATAAGATATCGTGCAAGCTCCAGGTATAACTATTAGTCCCGCCAATATTGCTGTATTTGTAAATAATAATTCTGGGAAATATAAGTTATCGTAATGAAACAGTAATTAATTTGAGCCCACTGAATTCACAGTGTTTCCTTAAGGAATTTAATCCCCTCCTAGTACCCAAGGTTATGGATTATTTCCTCCCAGGATAGAACGAATCACACACTGGTGTAGCGGTACTTCAAACCCCAGTGTTTCAGCGAACACAAAGTTCGGTAGCAAATCATACTTACAGTTGCTTTGTTTGAAATTAAAACAATGCAGAACAAAGGAGTAGAAACTCAAAAAATCGTATGGAAATGCTGAGAGGAAGGAGTGCAATGTATAGCCAAAGCGTTTTCAGTTTTTGGTGTTGTGTCTTTCTTCAACAGCTGCTGCACATATTTATAGCAGTCAACTTTGAAGATGAACGACCCTCCACCCTCCATGGTGGAGCATGCACTAGCTTGTTTGTGGAGCAAGCACTTG